AGGACAACTTTAAATGCAACAACATTCAAATTACAGGGGTCACAGAAGAAGAGAAAAAGAAAGGGACTGAGAAAATATATGAAAAGATTATAGTTGAAAACTTCCCTAATATGGGAAAGGAAATAGTCAAGTCCAGGAAGCACAGAGAGTCCCATACAGGATAAATCCAAGGAGCAACATGCCAAAAAACATATTAGTCAAACTGTCAAAAATTAAATACAAAGAAAAAACATTAAAAGGGAAAAACAGCAAATAACATACAAGGGAATCCCCATAAGGTTAACAGCTGACCTTTCAGCAGAAACTCTGTAAGCCAGAAGGGAGTGGCAGGACATATTTAAAATGATGAAATGGAAAGACCTACAACCAAGATTACTCTACCCACCAAGGATCTCATTCAGATTCGACAAAAAAATTAAAACCTTTAAAGACAAGCAAAAGCTAAGAGAATTCAACACCACCAAACCAGTTTACAACAAATGCTAAAGGAACTTCTCTAGGCAGGAAACACAAGAGAAAGAAAAGGCCTACAATAACAAACCCAAAGCAATTAAGAAAATGGTAATAGGAACATACATACCAACAGCTACCTTAAATGTAAATGGATTAAATTACCCAACCAAAAGGCATAGACTGGCTGAATGGATACAAAAACAAGAGCCATATATATGCTGTCTACAAGAAACCCAATTCAGACCTAGGGACACACATGGACTGAAAGTGAGGGGATGGAAAAAGATATTCCATGCAAATGGAAATCAAAAGAAAGCTGGTATAGCAATTCTCATGTCAGACAAAATAGGCTTTAAAATAAATACTATTACAAGAGACTAAGAAGAACACTACATAATTATCAAGGGATCAATCAAAGAGGAAGATATAACAACTGTAAATATTGATGAACCCAACATAGGAGCACATCAATACGTAAGGCAAATGCTAACAGCCATAAAAAGGGAAATCAACAGTAATGCAATCATAGTAGGGGACTGTAACACTACACTTAGACCAATGGACAGATCATCCAAAATGAAAGCAAATAAGGAAACACAAACTTTAAATGATACATTAAACAAGATGGGCTTAATTGATATTTATAGGACATTCCATCCAACAACAACAGAATAAACTTTCTTTTCATGTGCTCATGGAACATTCTGCAGGATAGAGCATATCTTGGGTCACAAATCAAGCATTGGTACATTTACAAAAATTGAAATTGTATCAAGTATCTTTTCTGACCACAATGCTATGAGACTAGATATCAATTACACGAAAAAAGTTTGTTGATACATGGAGGCTAAACAATACACTACTAAATAACCAAGAGATCAGTGAAGAAATCAAAGAGGAAATCAAAAAATACCTAGAAACAAATGACAATGAAAACATGACAACCCAAAACCTATGGGATGCAGCAAAAGAAGTTCTAAGAGGGGAGTTTATAGCCATACAATCCTACCTCAAGAAACAAGAAACATCTCAAATAAACAAGCTACCCTTATACCTAAAGCAATCAGAGAAAGAAGAACAAAACCCCCCCAAAGTTAGCAGAAGGAAAGAAATCATAAAGATCAGATCAGAAATAAATGAAAAAGAAATGAAGGAAACAGTAGAAAAGATCAATAAAACCCAAAGCTGGTTCTTTGAGAAGATAAGCAAAATTGATAAACCATTAGCCAGAGTCATCAAGGAAAAAAGGGAAAAGATGCAAAGCAATAGAATTAGAAATGAAAACGGAGAAGTAACAACTGACACTGTGGAAATACAAAAGATCATGAGAGACTACTACAAGCAACTATATGCCAATAAAATGGACAACCTGGAAGAAATGGACAATTTCTTAGAAAAGCACAACCTTCTAAGACTGAACCTGGAAGAAATAGAAAATATAAGCACATATCACAAGCACTGAAATGGAGACTGTGATTTAAAATCTTCTGAAAAACAAAAGCCCAGGACCAGATGGCTTCACAGGCAGAATCTATTCAAACATTTAGAGAAGAGCTAATACATATCCTTCTCAAACTCTTCCAAAGTATAACAGAGAGAGGAACACTCCCAAGCTATGAGGCCAGCATCACCCTGATACTGAAACCAGAGAAAGATGTCACAAGGAAAGAAAACTACAGGCCAATATCACTGATGAACATAGATGCAAAAATCCACAACAAAATACTAGCAAACAGAATCTAACAGCATATTAAAAGGATCATACACCATAATCAAGTGGGGTTTATCCCAGGCATGGAAGGATTCTTCAATATACGCAAATCAATCAGTGTGACAAACCATATTAAAAAACTGAAGGAGAAAAACCATGTGGTCATCTTAATAGATGCAGGAAACGATTTCAACAAAATTCATCACCCATTTATGATAAAAATTCTCCAGAAAGTAGGCATAGAGGTAACTTATCTCAACCTAATAAAGGCTGTATATGACAAACCCACAGCCAACTTCATTCTCAATGGTGAAAACTGAAACCATTTCCACTAAGATGAGGAAGAAGACAAGGTTTTCCACTCTCACCACTATTATTCAACATAGTTTTGGAAGTCTTACCCACAGCAGTTAGAGAAGAAAAAGAAATAAAAGGAATCCAAATCGGAAAAGAAGAAGTAAAGCTGTCACTCTTTGCAGATGACATGATACTATATATAGAGAATCCTAAAGATGCTACCAGAAAACTACTAGAGTTAATCAATGAATTTGGTAATGTAGCAGGATACAAAATTAATGCACAGAAATCTCTTGCATTCCTTTACACTAATGATGAAAATTCTGAAAGAGAAGTTAAGGAAACAATCCCATATATCATTGCAATGAAAATTTAAAAATAGCTAGGAATGAACCTACCTAAGGAGACAAAAGACCTGTATGCAGAAAAATATAAGACACTGATGAAAGAAATTAAAGGTGATACCAACAGATGGAGAGATATCCCATGTTCTTGGATTGGAAGAATCAACATTGTGAAAATGACTATACTACCCAAAGTAATCTACAGATTCAGTGCAATCTCTATCAAAGTACCAATGGCATTTTTCACAAAACTAGAACAAAAAATTTCACAGTTTATGTGGAAACACAAAAACCCCACATAGCCAAAGCAATCTTGAGAACGAAAAACGTACCTGGAGGAATCAGGCTCCCTGACTTCAGACAATACTACAAAGCTACAGTAAACAAGACAGTATGGTGCTGGCAGTAAAACAGCTATATAGATCAGTGGAACAGGATAGAAAGCCCAGAGATTAACCCACGCACCTATGGTCACCTTATTTTTAATAAAGGATTCAAGAATATACAGTGGAGAAAAGACAGCCTCTTCAGTAATTGGTGCTTAGAAAACTGGACAGCTACATGTAACAGAATGAAATTAGAACACTCCCTAACACCATACAGAAAAATAAACTCAAAATGGATTAAAGACCTAAATGTAAGGCCAGACAGTATAAAACTCTTAGAGCAAAACATAGGCGGAACACTTTATAACATAAATCACAAAAAGAACCTTTTTGACCCACCTGCTAGAGAAATGGAAATAAAAACAAAAATAAACAAATGGGACCTAATGAAACTTAAAAGATTTGCACAACAAAGGAAACCAGAAACAAGATGAAAAGACAACCCTCAGAATGGGAGAAGATATTTGCAAATGAAGCAACTGACAATGGATTAACCTCCAAAATTTATAGGCAGCTCATGCAACTCCATATCAAAAAAAAAAATCCAAAAATGGGCAGAAGTCCTAAATAGACATTTCTCCAAAGAAGATGTACAGATTGCCAACAAACCCATGAACGAATGCTCAACATCACTAATCATTAGAGAAATGCGAATCAAAACAACAATAAATAGTAGTATAAATAAATGTCAACACATTATTGGCACAAATTATTAATTTGCAAACTGTTTTAAAGACACTCATTAATGGCTGAATTGGAGGGTAAGAAGAGCTAAGGTAAGTGAGATTTTGGTAGGGGTTGGTAAAGGGCATTGAAGCCAGGGATGAGGATCTTCCTGGAGTATGCCTAAATGACTTCATTGCAAGCTGTGTTAGAGGAGACAAAATGGAGTTAGGACCAGAAGTGATAAGTCATTCACCATAAATGCTCCTCATTAGGGGCCCAACAAGTGTTATAATAATCACATTTAGCTTTTGGATGAAAGCAATTGACCATAATTCATTCTCACCAGAACATTTTCACATGCTAATGATTTCTAATGAGGACAGTGGCCATTAGTTAAAAATCTACACCAGTAGTTTTAGAACGGAACACTGTGTTCGGTTTCTTTTGCCCTGACTTACACTGTGTCCTGAGTCTGATTGTGTTATCTCGGTGCTCTCTTATCAGACCAAGAATCTCTTTCATTGATTCTTCCTTCATCAGTGGCTAGCTGTATTAACTCATCCATTTATTCACAAATGTGTCCTAAATACTTACCCTGTTAAAAACACCATGCCTGGCCACTTGTGAGCTTGCTGGCTAAGCTCATCCAAACTATCTCTCCTAGCCAGCTACCTTAGATGGCTAAGATACCCACTTTAAAGGATGGTTTGGTTTTGTCAATTCCTGTTCCCTTTTGGGAAGTTTTCCTACCTGACCTTTTGGATTGGTCCTATAAGAAATAGAACATTAGAGTTGTGAATCAATCCAGCTAAACCAGTAACTCACTACTAAAGCAAGTGAAAATGTTTGTGCTTAACCAGATTCTGATAAAGGGTCCTATGACTTTTGGGGGTCCTTGTCATAAAAGGCTCTATGCTCTGGAGTCTGCAGTCTGAAGACCTTTGCTTGAGATCCATCTTTCCTAATTATTCACTGGTGGAGTGACTTCCTTCTTTAAACCCCAATTTTCTCGTATGAAAAGTGTAAATGGTTATTCCCTGTCTACTTCATGATACTGAAATAAGGCTCCCAAATGCTCAGGAAGTGGTAAAGCCCCCAGGGAGTGAAGGGCATCCTCAACCTGGGCTTTTGCTTTGTCTGCAGGGCTACCTGAAGCAATGCCGGAAGAGAAGGGACATGTTCAGTGATGAGCAACTGAAGGTGATCTTTGGGAACATTGAAGACATCTACAGGTTTCAGATGGGCTTCGTAAGAGACCTGGAGAAACAGTACAACAATGATGACCCCCACCTCAGCGAGATAGGACCCTGCTTCCTGGAGCACGTAAGCATCTTCCCCTTTGGGGAGGGTTTTGAGAGATGTTTGGAAGCCATGGAAGGAGTCTCTGAGCTATTTGGTTCTGCTCAGTTGCTTTGCCCCATGGTAGGGGATGGATTCCTCTCTAACCCTGATGTTCATCCCCTTGCTAGAGTATGAGGACTTAGGAAGGTACTGTGATTTGTCCAAGGACTCTTCTTCTTTACTGTTCTCCACGCCTTTTTTCGATCCTTCCAGATAATTATCAGTAGGATTTTTCTTCAACTTCTCTTCTCTGCTCCTACGGGGCTCAGTTTCCATGGGACCCAGTGCTTTGGGAGGGACTCTGAACATATTCATATATTCCAGGAATCTGAGAAAGGAGAGACCATGGCCAGCATGAAACTGGACCCCTGCAAGGCATTTAAGGGAGAACACTAGGGTAGGGGAAGTGACAAGTGTAGGAAAAGGGGCTACATGATTTAGAGGAAGGAACACTAGGAAACAGGGAAGTGAGGATGTGAGTCCTGTCTATAATGATTGTCTGGGTAACTTTGGGTAAGTTCCTTACCGTCTTTGGGCTTCCTCATATGGATTTAATAAGGTTTCACTTTATACCTCTGTGGTTCTCTAATATCTTTTGTGTCTTATTCACAGGTGACCTAGTTGTTTTGACAACTCTTCTCCCCCGTTTTATAAAGTATTTATTTTTAAAGAGATAATACATGCACATGGTATAAAATTCAAATGACACATGAAAGTGTGCAACTAAGAGTAAGTTTTCTTGCAAATTCTCCTGCTTTTACTATGGGAATGTGTAGTGGGGGGATAGCCCGAAGGCCACCCATATGTTCAGTGATTTGCTACAAGTCCCGGGACTCAGCATATAGTCATACTCATGGTTGTGATTTAATACAACTAAAGGATACAAAGCAAAATCAGCAAAAGGAAAAGGCACATGGGGCAAAGTGTGAAGGAAACCAAGTGTAAGTTTCCAAGAGTCCTCTCCCAGTAGAGTCATACAGGATGCACTTAATTCCCCTTGCAATGAGTTGTGAAAACACTTTTGAAATGTTGTCCACCAGGGAAAATTATTAGGGACTCAGTGCCCAAGATTTCTATGGGTGGCTGGTCATGTAGGCACCCTCTGCCTAGCATGTACCAAAATTCCAGACTCCCAGAAGGAAAGCAAGTATTCTGCATAAACCACATTGTTCATACAAATAGTTTAGGCACAGTGAGCCACTCTTGTCAGGGAATGGTGAAAAATCTCTTGAGATCCAAGTTCCAAGATGCCAGCCAAGGGCCAACCTTTCAAGCAGGCCTTTTTAGGGATAGTAGTCTCAGGCTTGATATGTTAACTCTTTTTTGCACAGTATTAAACTGGTTCAGCCATTCCAGAAAGCACCTGGGTAGTATTTATCAAAGTTAAGCATGTGTATGATCTTGGGTTCCATTCATGAATATGTATCCCAGAGAAATTCTCATAGAGGTCCACGAGGGAACATTTACAAGGCTGTTGATTGCATGGCAGTGTTGTGTGTGGTGGAGTGCAGTTAGAAACAACTTAGGTATTTATCACCAGGGTATGGATGAGAAACATAATGGGGGATGCTTACTGTAAGGTATTATATAGCAAGGAACAAGAGACTAGTTGTATGTACCCAATAGCAATGTGTGTAAATATAAATATAGTCTTGAGCTGGGAAAGTAGAATATGGAATAGTGATTCTCAATTGGAGTCTACCCTGTGCATTGTAGGGTGTTTAACAGCATTCCTGGTCTCTATCTACTGGAGGCCAGTAGCAACCTCCTAGTTGTGACAACCCAGAATGTCTCCAGACATTGTCAACTTTACCGAGGGACAAAAAAGAACCACTAATCTATTAAAATGATCATATACTTTTACACTGTAATCTGTTAATGTGCTGAATTTGGTTTGAATAATTTTCATATGTTAAATGAACATTGTATTGCTGGGATAAACCCCACCTAATCATGGTGTATTATCCTTCTTTATGTAGTAGTTTGCTTTTTAAAAAATATTAGATTGTTTACCCTCTTTTAATTCAGTTCTAGGATTTATTTTTTTTTAGGATTTCATTCTTTATCATCTTGGTTTAGGTATAATTTACAAACAATAAAATTCACCAAATGTCTACTTCGATGGGTTTTAACAGGTGCATATAGTTGTGTAACTACCACCGTAATCAAGATATGGAACATCTCTATCACTTCATCAAGTTCTAATGTTTTCCCCTTGTTGTCAGTCTTTGCTCTCACCCTCGCCCTTGGCAAACACTGATCTGCATTCTGTCACCATAATTTTGCTTTTTTAGAATGTCATATAAATGGAATAATGCAATAGTGATATTTTGTTTAGCTTCTTTCACTTAATTTCTTTGATATCCATCCATATTTTTGCATGTATTAGTAGTTGGTTATTTTTCTTTTTATTGTTTAGCGATAATTCCATTGTGTGTATATACCACTCATTCACCAGTTCATTCCAGGACATCTGGGTTGTTTACTAGGTTGTTTCCGTCTGGGGGATTACTGGGTTGCATTGTAGGTATTTGTTTAATTTTATAAGATACTGCCAAACTGTTTTCCAAAGTTACTGTATCATTTTGCATTCTCACTTCTAATATATAAGGGTTGCAGTTGTTCCACATGGTTGTCAGCACTTGGTATTATCAGTATTTTTAATTTTAGGCATTCTAATAGGTGCATAGTGGCATTTCATTGTGGGTTTAGTTTGCATTTCCCTAATGGCTAATGGTATTGAGCATTTTTTTCATGTGCTTATTTGCCATCTGTATAAAACCTTTGGTGAAGTGTCCTTGTCTTTTGCCCATGTGGGTTGTCTGTTTTCTTACTATTTAGTTCCAAGCATTATTTCTGTATTCTGTTTGCAAGTCCTTGGTCATATATGTGATTTTCAAAGGTTTTCTCAGTCGTGGCTTAGTCTTTCATTTTTTCTTAACATTGTCTTTGAAAAGCATAAACTTTTAATTTTGTTGAAATTCAATTTATTACTTTTTCATGATTCATGTTTTTTGTTTCTTATTTAAGAAATCTTTGCCTAACCCAAAGTCACAAAGCTTTTCTACTGTTTTCTTATAGAAATTATGTAGTTTTATTTCTTATATTTAGGCTATGCTCATTTTTGAGGTACTTTTTATATATGGTGCAAAATAAGGTTCAAGGTTAATTTGCTTCCATATGGATATTCAGTCGTTCCAGCACCTTTGTTGAAAAAACTATTAATTTCCCCATTGAATTACCTGGGCATCTTTGTCAAAAATCAATTGATCATATATGTGTAGTTCTATTCTTAGGAACACTATTCTGTTCCAGTGATCTATGTGACTATTTATATAGTAATACCACACTGTGTTTTCTTCTTGTTTTAATTGAGATATAATTGTCATATATATCAGTTTCAGGTGTACAACATAATAATTTAATATTTATATATATTGTGAAATGATCACCACAGTAAGTCTAGTTAACATCTATTACCATACATAGTTACAATTTTTTTGTCTCACTGTCTTGAATAATGTAGCTTCATAGCAAGTCTTGAAAGCAGGTAAAGTCCTTCAAATTCATACTTTTTCGAAACAATTTTGGCTATTTTAGGTGATTTCTATTTCTATATAAATTTATCTTATCACAAGGAGAATTTTATTCTCTTCTTTTTATTTTATCTATATGAGATGATGGAAGTTAAATAAACATTGTGGTAATCATTTCACAATATATGTAAAGCAAGCCATCTTGCTGTACACCTTAAACTTATACAGTGATGTTTGTGAATTATTTCTGGATAAAACCGGGGGGTGGTGGGAAGAATCAGCTTGCTTAGTTCTACCAAAAAGCAAGGATAACAACAACAAAAATGAATTCTTCCAGCATTTTGATTAGGATTACATTAAATCTCCCAGCATTGTTTCTAGTTTTCACTTGTATAGGTCTTGATCTTATTTTTAAAAATTGATTTCTAAGTAATTAATTTTTTGCTGCTTTATAAATTGTATTTTTATTTCAATTTCCTATAGTTTGTTGCTATGATATAGAAATGCAACTCATTTTTTTTTTTACAGCTGTCCCTCAGTATCTGCAGGAGATGTGTTCCAGGACACCCTGCAGATACCCAAATCCACAGATGCTCAAGACCCTTATATAAAATGGTATAATATTTGCATATAACCTATGCACATACTCCCATATACTTTAAATCATCTCTAGATTACTTATTATACTTAATACAATGTAAATACTATGTAAATGGTTGTAAATAAAATGTAAATGCTATATAAATTTTTACTGGCATGCAAAACAAAGTTTTGCTTTTTGGAACTTTCTAGATTTTTTTCTGAATATTTTCCATCTGCAGTGGTTGAATCCACAGATGCAGAACCTGCCAATATGGAGGGCCAACTGTATTGACTTTGAATCCTGGCACATTATTGAATTCAATAATTGGGTCTAGTTTTTTTTTTTTTTAGATTCCTTAGGATTGTATACATATACAATCACATCATTTCTAAATAAAGGCAGTTTTATTTCTTCTTTTTCAATCTGTATGACTCCTATTTCCTTTGCTTCTCTTATTGGACTAGCCAAGACCTTCACTACAGTGTTAACTAGAAGTGGTAAGAGCAGGCATCTTTTGTTTTGTACCTGAGTTTTAGGGACAAAAATTCAGCATTTACTATTAAGAATGATATTAACTTTAAGTTTTTCATGATCACCCTTTATCACACTGGGGAAGTTTCTTTCTAATCCTGGTTTGCTGATGGCTTTTATCATAAATGTATTTTATCAAATGCTTATTGAAATTATTGAAATAATCATATGGTTTTTCTCCTTTAATCTGTTAACATGGTGAATTGGATAGGGATAAGTCCCTCCTAATCATGGTGTATCATCCTTTTACTGTACTATTTTGCCTGATTTCTAAAATTAGGTTACTTGTCTTTTTATTATTAAGTTCTAGTATTTTTTTATACATTGATGCA